TTTTTATCACTCAATTTATTAAGCTTACAAATACTTAAGGCAAATTTCCTATACATTTATATACTACTTACATTTCTAGTAAATAAAAATATACATTTATAAATCTAGTATTCTGACCATTTAAAAGTTGATTTGGGGCACCTGTGTGGCATGCTCAGGACAGAGTCTGCTTGGGACCCTCTCTCCCTCTGCCCCTCCCCCGTTCATTTGCTCTTGCACGCACACGCGCACACTCTCTCTCTCTCTCAAATAAATAAATCTTTAAACAAATAAAAAATTAAATAAAAGTTGATTAAAACCCAGACAAGCCCTGAATGGCAATAAAAATAAGACTCTAATTGTAAGAGATCTTTAAAATGCTTCAACCTCTTAAAATAAATCAAATATTCACAAAATAGCTCAATGATTACAAATCTTACTGTTACAATGACACTTCAATCACTACAAAGACATTTATACTTTGGATTTATGGGTTTACAAAATTAGCATTTTCATTCATACACTTAGATGCATAATCTTTACAAATAATATTCCCCAAATAATATTCTTTCAAGCTAAGATATCAGGTTCTGTTTCATTAACTAGTTGATTCTTGGTCTGAAAACAAGACCGATTTTTACCTCAGGGGGATTCAATTCCAAGTCTACACTAGTTGATGTGGTTCCTTCTTAAGCACAGGTTCATGTGCTATTTCACAGACCTTGTAAACTGATTCCTTTTCTTGCACCTTCCCCTTTTTGTTCCCTTATCCATCAAGTTTTGGCTACAGATACCTCATGTAGTTATCTACTTCACTATATCTTATTAGTACCTCATTAAAATTAGTAGAACCATACCGAGATTCCCCTCCTAGACAGCTGAGTCTTCACTGTCCGCTTCCTCTAATGGACATTTGATTGTACTCCTGTTCTGCAATCCAACATTACGACCTATTTCTACCTGATTATTTGGTAAGGCCATTATGGCTGGCCACTCTTCTTGTTTATAATACAGTTCTTGGTTTTCTGGTTCAGCTGGCTCACTGGTGATTCTTCCTATCTACCATTCTCCATCACATAGTTAACAATAAATATCTATTATCACACATATACATAATAAAAACAAACAAAACCTTGAGATCAACACACTCATATACATCAATCTGCTACTGAACCAACAGGAGTTTGCTCCTTGGTGAGTCAGAAAAGGCACCAGGTTGAATTGTTGCACAAAGAAAACTTTTATTTGCAACAAATAAGTGGGGCACCTGGGTGACTCGATTAAGTGTCTGACTCTTGATCTTAGCTCAGTTCTTGATCTCAGGGTCATGAGTTTAAGCTCCATGTTGGGCTCCATGCTGGGTGAAAAAAAAATTAACCTGCAGCAAATAAGGAGGTTATGGGGAATGGCTTCCAAAACCAAGAATGCCGAGGGAGAGGGTGAATGGGTTCCTCTTGTTTAGGGTTAGAATGAATATTTAGATAGGGAAGACTTCTCATCTTACGTAGAGGCAGGCATAAGGTTGCACTTTAAAGAAAAATGCCTATATATATACATTGTATGTTATGTAAATGAGGCTGAGGCTCCTCTTTGGGTGGAGATTTTAGTATAACAAATAAAGGTAGTTGTTGGTCATTCCAGGGATCACTCCATGGTCCATCTGCGCAGGGTGAGTGGGGGTGGGGGGTTTAGCTCAAAAGGTCTGGTTGGTCTGGACCAGCGGGAGGTCTTGACAGGGCAGTCACCATCACCTGAGGGGTGGTTTTGAGTGTCATTTGCCTGAGTAAAGAAGTAAGCCAGAAAGAAGAGCTTAAGGGAAAATGTAAGACAAAGGTTAGTGAGTACAAGCAGGTGGGCAGCAAATGTCAGGTCTTGCAGTCTAGCTGGTGACAAGTCCTGTCAAACATCAACAGCAATTTTATTTTATTTTATTTATTTTATTTTATTATCATTTTTAAAGATTTTATTTATTTATTTGAGAGAAAGAATGAGATAGAATGAGCATGAGAGTGGGGAGGGTCTGAGGGAGAAGCAGACTCACTGCTGAGCAGGGATCCCGATGCAGGACTCAACCCCGGGACTCCAGGATCATGACCTGAGCCGAAGGCAGTCGCTCAACCAACTGAGCCACCCAGGTGCCCATTAACAGCAATTTTAAAACATGTATTAAATTTACTCTTCTTTTGCATGCAACAAACTTACTTTACATTTATGTAGTTTTCCCCTATTTGGAATATGTTTATGAACTGAGTTTGTTTCAATTGATCAGCATTCCTCAATCTAAGCACTACTGAGATTTTAAATTGTAAATTCTTTTTTTTGTGGGGAGTTGTTCCATGTATTGTGGGATGCTTAGCAGCACCCCTGCTTCTACCCCTTAGATGCCAGAAGCACTTCCCCCAGTTGTGACAACCAAGAATGTCTTCAGACAATTCAAATATCTCCTAGGGAACAAAACTGTCTCTGGTTAAGAACCATTGTAATCAACTATCATTTTTCTTTTTTTTTTTTTTTTTCTGATCCTCAGTATATCAGAACATGGCCAATAGTAGCCCTTCTATTTGGCTCCATTGTTCTTTTAGCACTACCATGGGCATTTTTGAAATACCTGCTTCTGGAAACAAGAAGATATCTTATCTTCATATTTCCCTGCCCTTTTCTTTAGTGAGTTCCAGATCTGAACATTAAAGTACAAATCACATTTGGGAGTAAACAGGTTGAATGTACTGCCAGTAAGGCCAGTGGGATGGCCAAGCTGAAAAATATAGTGAAAGTCATAAGTCCATAATGATGTTTAAAAAATAAGCCTGAAAATTAATAAAGCTTTAGTGTTTTATTTTGCCATAAAATTTTTAAATTTACCTTTTTTCTACATACCTAGTTATATTTACCCCCCTTTCACCATCATCATTTTGCCATCCTTCCTGGTTTGCCTCTATTGTTAGTCATCAGGCAGATAACAAGAAAAATTAGTTAACGTAAAATATTACCAGGTGACCTACCATCTCATAACTGTGAAGCACATCATGAGTGGAGCTATGGTTCTGTATTTTAGGAGGACAGGTGGTTATAAAACAAGCTTCTGTATTTTAAAAATTTTTAAATGTTGCCCATCTATCAACCAGGTTTACTTCTGAATTACAAATAATTTGAAGGCAAGTGATTTTACTAATGTACACTCCTATTAGCAATTTATGAAGTTTTCCATTGCTTCACATCCTCTCTGCGCTTAAATCGTAGGTCAATGAGGGAAAAATAGAAAACTTTATAATTTTGTCTTCCAACCCATGAGCATGGAATATTTGTTCATTTATTTAAGTCTCTCTTAATTTCTCTCAGAAATGCTTTATGTTTTCCATGTAGAGATCTTGTATATCTTCCATGAGGTTTATTTTTTGACATTTAATACTTTTGAGGCTTTTGTGAATTTTTTAAAATTACACTTAATTTATAAAATTATATTTAATGTTTGTTCCTCTTACATAGAAATAAGACTTTTGTATTATAAGATGATAACCAGCAAATTTGTTGAACTTAATTGTAATGATTTATATGGACTTTATTTTTGATTTTCTTGAAGACAAGCATATTAGTGAATCATTAGAGCTTCATTTTTTGTTTCTAATTCTTACATTTTTATTTCTTTTTCTTGCAATATCATACCAGCCAGGGTCTTCAAAGTGTTATGGGACAGAAATAGTGATAGCGGGTATCCTTTTCTGATTGCAGATAGAAAGTGAATTTACCTTCTGTTTCTAGTTTACAAAACATTTTTATCAGGAATGAATGCCAGAGATCAGGTTAATACCCTTTTCTTCAAGAAATCTTTTTTCAACTCCATAATTCTTTTTTCTTTCCCTCATTATAACTTTGTCAGAAATTTCTATCTTATTCTCGTGTTTAAAGTGTGTAAGTCCTCTCTTACTGTTAAACAGCTAAGGGTTTTTACTGTAGAAATCATGTATTATTTTTAAAAAATAAGCACATTCTTAGCAGAATGTGAAATGTGTAGCAGAAACCCACTAATTAGATAAGACTCCCCAAGATAGCTTTTAATATATTTTGTGTTAATGACTGAAATTCTGTACAGTATTTATTTTAGATTTTCCCCATTTTAAACTAATGCAAGCAATATAACCATAGCTATGATTCCATACTACTTGGCATAATAATATATGCCTATTTTTTTCTTTCATATTATTGGTATCAGGGTAGCAATTGCAATTTTATAAAACATGTTTTGCCAAATTGAAGCATATATTATTGTCAGAATCAAAGTTTGGGGATAGATTCAGACTTGTTTGATAAACCCTGGGTCCTTTAAAAAAGCCAAAGAGAGACCATGGGATTCCTGTTTTGTTAAAACACTGGGAGACAAGCAGAGGTCTGGGCAGATGGGGGAAGGATGAGTAGCAAGGCCTATGCTGTAAAGGACTTAATGGCTCCTGATATAAGAATATGAAGTAGAGTTTAACCTTAGTCCCCGAATCTATGTCTTTCAAGCCCCAATTACCAAAATGCTCTTGAGAGTCTTTGAGCAGATGGTTGTGTAACATAAGATGAATTGAGTCGTTAGGATCTCTGCAGCTCCATTTTGGTAACTCCTAAATAGTTTTGAGAAGCAGAACAAATTTATCTTTAGGTCAGAGAGAGAGAAATTTATTGGAATTTAGCATTTCAAATGAGATCTATACATGTGCATGTAGCAACCACAGGCAGCTACATCTCCTGGCAGCCTAGCAACCACGAGCAGAGAAGAGAAGAAAAGCCCATTCACATTCAGACACCAGCTATGACTATAGCTATTAAGACCCTCCTTTCTGTCATACCGAACTGCAGGGAATGACAGGAATGTTCATCAAAGGAAAACCAGGCTCCATGCTCCTTGAGGAGGTGGCTAAGAACATTGCATTCTGAAGCACTTTTAAAGAGACCTGTACACCACTGAGGAACATTCAGTTATTCCTATTCTGCTCGATGGAATTTATTCATCATTATTACATCATTTGATTCTCTCCACTAACTCGAGAAGCAGGCAGGGATACAGAACGTTACTCCCATTTTACCGGTGAGGAAATAAGCCAGACAGTTAGCTTTCTATAGGTAATACAGCTAGTAAATTATATATCGTGACTGAGAATCTAAGTTTTGATTCTTAAGGTAGTGTTTTGTTTTGTTTTGTTTCCCATTATTTAAAAAGTCTGTGATCTTGGAGAAGTTACTTAGCAACTTTATGCCTCAATTCCTGTTTGGTATAATGGGCGTTATACTAATACTTATAAACCCTTAGATGGTGAAAAAAATCAAATGAGATTTTATATGTGTATGTGTGTGTGTGTGTGAGTGTATGATGCTTAGCACAGTGCTTAACTTGCAATCAATTAGCAATAATCATCATAGTAAGACTATGGAATAAACAGATTCATTTAGAGCACATAGAAAAATGAGTCTTTGCTTAAGTTATGTGGCCTAATAATAGCTGACATTTATTGAGTGTTTAACAAATGTCAGGGATTTTTCTCAGAGCTTTAAAATAATCAATTAACTCTTTTGCTGTTGTTGTTAGAACAAACCTTGAAGTTAGTACTATTTAATATTCATAGTACAATTGAGGAAATGAGGTAAGGAGTAGCTCATCCAAGGTAGCTTGCCCAGGATTGGTGGTCCAGCTGGCAGTCAAACTTAGGTGAGCTAGTCAAAGCCTGTGCACTTGACCAGTTCTGTCTCTTCCTGTTTGGTATGAACATGTATACATCACTTTCTACTAATGTATGCAGCTTAAAATGGATAATCATATTTGTTTATATTTTCATCTATGGACTGTAGCTCTAAGAGTTATTTATGTATATTTTAGAGATAAATGTTGAAAATTCCATGGACCATAATTTATGTTTCAGAGCTATAAATCTTGAAAATTTATGGACCAGTATGATGTTCAAGACTTCCTCTTAACTTATAATCAAGCATTAACATCTACTTATGTTTCATCATCCTAGTCAAAGATACCCTTAACGTGTGGCAATATATGTAAAATTATTATATCCTTTCATTATATCATAATACCTAATCATATTCTAGGGCTATGCTTCTCAAGTATACAATACTGTAATCTAGATATTTTTCCACATTAATCAATGTTTTTATAAGCTAAAATTGGATTTAAATGGGCCACAGGAGCACACTGGATTAGGAAAATTACAAAAGGGCAGCTTACAATTTAAGGGCTACTTCCAGAGAATATGTTTTTAAAAAAATGCATGATTATATAGAGTGATGATTAAAATAACAGTTCTATATGGTGCCCATGGAAATAGTTTTCATTGTTTTATGCCTCTTACTTTTTAGAACTAGCTGTTGAAATATGTATTTGCTTTTTTCCCAATCATAAGAATTGCTGAACATTCTAAAAGCACCAGGCCTGAGGCAAAGGCCCACTTTATCTTGGTATAAGAAGAGCTGCATTCCATCTCTTCTTCCTCGAGGAAGCTTGCACAAATCTATCTTCCCTTTGCTTGTCTTATAAAACTCCATAACCTTTTATGAAGTCTAATAGAGGAATTCCATTTCCACTAGTGAAGGAGTATCCATCTATTGCTTGCAGACCAACAGTTTTCCTCTGAAGTAAGCAGAAAAAAAAAAAGCCAGATGAGAGTATGGGCATATGGTATATAGCTTAGGGAAACACTCCAATTATTCTATAGCTTGTGTACTTTATGTTTTAAATGGTGGTGATGATGATAAGGAAAGGGGTAGGAGAAGGTACAGAAATATATTTAAGATGATCATTGAATTTAGATTGTTTATTAAATAGAAATGCTTAAGAATTGATTTTCTAATGATGCTAAATTTGATTTGGAAGCATTAGGTAATACATAAACTTTGAAAATAGCCTAAGAGTTGTTACTCCTAAAGATTTAAAATTAGATATGAATTATCCATTGTTATATGGTCAATGAATCTATGACAAAGGAGGCAAGAATATACAAGGGACAAAGATAGTCTCTTCAACAAATGGTGATAGGAGAACTGGACAGCTACATGCAAAAGAATACAAACTAGACCACTTTATTGCACCATACACAAAAATAAACATAAAATTGAATAAAAATCCAAATGTGAGACTTGAAGCCATAAAATCCCTAGAAGAAAACAGGCAGTAACCTCACTGATATTAGCTAGAAACATTTGTCTAGAAATGTCTACATGTCTAATTATATTTTAAACCAAAGACTATAATGAGAGATGAAGAAGGACACTATATCATACTTAAAGGGTCTATCCAACAAGATCTAACATTTGTAAATATCTATGCCCCGAAAATGGGAGCAGCCAATTTTATAAGCCAATTAATAACAAAAGCAAAGAAACAGATCGACAACAACAATAACAGTAGAGGACTTTAACACCCCCCTCACTGAAATGGACAGATCATCTAAGCAAAAGATTCACAAGGAAATAAAGACTTTAAATGACACACTGGACCAAATGGACTTCACAGATATAGTCAGAACATTCCATCCCAAAGCAACAGAATACACATTCTTCTCTAGTACCCATGGAACATTCTCCAGAATTGATCACATCCTAGGTCACAAATCAGGTCTCAACTGGTACCAAAAGATTGGGATCATTCCCTGAATATTTTCAGACCACAGTGCTTTGAAACTAGAACTCAATCACAAGAGGAAAGTCGGAAAGAACTCAAATACATGGAAGCTAAAGAGCATCCTACTAAAGAATGAATGGGTCAACCAGGAATTTGAAGAAGAATTAAAAAATTCATGGAAACCAATGAAAATGAAAACACAACTGTTCAAAATCTTTGGGATGCAGCAAAGGCTGTCCTAAGAGGAAAGTATATAGCAGTATAAGACTTTCTCAAGAAACAAGAAAGGTCTCAAATACACAACCTAAGCCTACACCTAAAGGAGCTGGAGAAAGAACAGCAAATAAAGCCTAAACCCAGCAGGAGAAGAGAAATAATAAAGATCAGAGCAGAAATCAATGAAATAGAAACCAAAAGAGCAGTAGAACAGATCAACGAAACTAGGAGCTGGTTCTTTGAAAGAATTAACAAGATTGATAACCCCCTGGCCAGACTTACCAAAAAGAAAAGAGAAAGGACCCAAATAAATAAAATCATGAATGGGAGAGGAGAGATCACAAACAACACCAAAGAAATACAAAGACTTATAAGAACATATTATGAGCAACTCTATGCCAGCAAATTAGATAATCTGGAAGAAACAGATGCATTCCTAGAGATGTATCAACTACCAAAACTGAACCAGGAGGAAATAGAAAACCTGAACAGACCCATAACCACTAAGGAAATTGAAGCAGTCATCAAAAATCTCCCAACCAACAAAAGCCCAGGGCCAGATGGCTGCCCAGGGGAATTCTACCAAACATTTAAAGAAGAATCGATACCTATTCTTCTGAAACTATTCCAAAAAATAGAAATGGAAGGAAAACTTCCAAACTCATTTTATGAGGCCAGCATTACCTTGATCCCAAAATCAAAGACCCCATCAAAAAGGAGAATTACAGACCAATATCCCTGATGAACATGGATGCAAAAATTCTCACCAAAATCCTAGCCAATAAGATCCAACCGTACATTGAAAGGATTATTCACCACGACCAAGTGGGATTTATCCCTGGGCTGCAAGGTTGGTTCAACATCTGCAGATCAATGTGATATAATGCATTAATCAAAGAAAGAACAAGAACCATATGATCCTCTCAGTAGATGCAGTAAAAGCATTTGACAAAGTATATCGTCCTTTCTTGATTAAAACTCTTCAGAGTATAGGGATAGAGGGTACATACCTCAATATCATAAAAGCCATCTATGAAAAACCCACAGCAAATATCATTCTCAATGGGGAAAAACTGAGAGCTTTCCCCCTAAGGTCAGGAACATGGCAAGGATGTCCACTGACACCACTGCTATTCAACAGAGTACCAGAAGTCTTAGCCACAGATATCAGACAACAAAAAGGAATAAAAGGCATCCGAATTGTCAAAGAAGAAGTCAAACTCTCACTCTTTGCAGATGATATGATACTTTATGTGAAAAACCCAAAAGACCTCATCCCAGAACTGCTATAACTCATACAGAAATTCAGTAAAGTGGCAGGATATAAAATCAATGCACAGATATCAGTGGCATTCCTATATACCAACAACAAGACAGAAGAAAGGGAAATTAAGGAGTCAATCCCATTTACAATTGCACCCCAAACTATAAGATACCTAGGAATAAATCTAACCAAAGAGGCAAAGAATCTGTACTCAGAAAACTATAAAATACTCATGAAAGAAAATGAAGAAGACAAAAAGAAATGGAAAAACATTCCATGCTCATGGATTGGAAGAACAAATATTGTGAAGATATCAATGCTACCTAGAGCAATCTACACATTTAAGGCAAGCCTTATCAAAATAACATCTACTTTTTTCAAAGAAATGGAACAAATAATCCTAAAATCTGTATGGAACCAGAAAAGACTCCGTACAGCTGGGGGAATGTTGAAAAAGAAAAGCAAAGCTGGTGGCATCACAATTCTGGACTTCGAGCTGTATTACAAAGCTGTCATCATCAAGACAGTATGGTACTGGTACAAAAACAGACACATAGATCAAGGGAACAGAATAGAGAGCCCGGAAATAGACCCTCGACTCTATGGTTAACTAATCTTCAACAAAGCAGGAAAGAATGTCCAGTGGAAAATAGTCTCTTCAACAAATGGTGTGTGGAAAACTGGACAGCCACATGCAGAAGAATGAAACTGAACCATTTCCTGACACCACACATAAAAATAGACTCCAAATGGTTGAAAGACCTAAATGTGAAACAGGAGTCCATCAAAATCCTAAGGAGAACACAGGCAGCAACCTCTTAGACCTCAGCCACAGCAACTTCTTCCTAGAAACATTGCCAAAGGCAAGGGGAGCAAGGGCAAAAATGAACTATTGGGACTTCATCAAGATCAAAGCATTTGCACAGCAAAGGAAACAGTCAAGAAAACCAAAAGACAACCGACAGAATGGAAGAAGATATTT